CGTTTCCGCCGCTCCTCGCAGTCGGTCTGCAGCGTCAGGGAGCGGCCCGGGTCCCCATCCCCGTCTCAGGAGCACCCGGGTCCCCATCCCCGTCTCAGGAGCACCCGGGTCCCCATCCCCGTCTCAGGAGCACCCGGGTCCCCATCCCCGTCTCAGGAGCACCCGGGTCCCCATCCCCGTCTCAGGAGCACCCGGGTCCCCATCCCCGTGGGCGCCCCCGGGGATGCCCGGGCCCCACAGCCCCCAGGGCCACGACGGAGGAGGGTCCGCCCACCTCTGGTCCACGTCCTGCACCCCTGCCCCGCACCCCCGTCTCTCGGGCTGCACCACACACGCGTTGTAACTGCCCCATGTCAAGCCACTGCGCTCAGACTGCTTTCCATGTATTTGTCTTGCATGAATTCTGTCTCGGTTTCATTCACTGTCCTGGCCTGGAAATCCTCAACAAGTAATGGTGGTTACGCTGGGACGACAAGGGCCCCCGCTCCAGGCCGGGCTCCGGCAGCCGGCTTCGAGGAGGCCCAGCCGGACAGGCCAGGCCGGGCCTGTGGCCCTACGTCACGCTCTCACTTAGCTCCCGAAGCAAGAACTGGGGTTTGCAAGATGCCATCTGCGCTCTGCCTCTGGTCCCTGTCATCTCAGGGGCGGGATTCCCACTTTGCCCAGCAAGGCCTGTGTCACTCACCGACTCGCAGAGCAGAGACCCGGCCCTAGAGAAACGTCCTGGGGGCCGTGACCATTTCCAGGGCTTTCGACACCACTTCGGGATGTGGTTTGAACGAGAGTGAACAGCCCGTCGTCAGCCAGTCCTTGCCTAACTGTGGCTCCCCCCGCAGCTTTCAAGAGCTCGTTCTGAAACATCGATCTGGGTTTAAAACCAAGAGGCCCCGCGCGCCAACCCCCCTTCCAGGGTGTGGGAGGCGGTTTCCACGCGAGAATGCTGTTATCCATGTCACATGTCACAGTGAGCTGTCTGCAGCGCTTTGCAGGTTTCAGGGCGTGTCCCCTTGCCAGGAGTTTGTGAGGGACGCTCGGCCTACATCCCGCCCGTGTCACTTCACCCGCTGTGACGTCTGAGCGAGTGGTGACCGCGCTGGCACGGATCGGGTTTCCTGGACGGGGACAGACCCTGTCATCGTACTGCGCTTATTTCAGAGACACACAAACGTCTGGAATACAGTCTGTCTTCAGACTTAAAGCATTCAGACAAAGTAGTTCACTTCATATATTCCTATTTGGCAAGGGTCGGATCTGTGGTAACGATGAGGAATAAACTGCTCACACGGTTGGTCACATACAATTCCTAACAAATTTTCTCTCCAAAAATTTAGAAGAGTTAACTAAACCAGTGAGAAGACAAATCACATTGAAGAACATGATCTATTTAAACTTACTTTTTATTATCATTTTTTTTTTCCAGTTACCCAGCATGCCACAATCCGATTGCTGACCTGGATGAAACAGAGTGGAATGATTTACAGAGATATTTACATTCATCTGATTTGTACGTGACGTGCCACAAGGTCCCGCGACCCTCCGGGGGCCGCCGCCTGACCGCGGCGTGCCGTGCGTCACCGCCCCCTGCTCTGAGCGGCCCCTGCATGGTGGCGCCTGGGCCTGGTGTGGACTTTCAGAAATGGCTCCACGTCATTCTGTTTTTAGATCTGCTCACTCGTATGCTGTTACACATATGAATTTCAATAAATGAACTTTATTTAAAGACTTGAATGGTAATGTTCACTTTTTACCTTGTAGTGATGAACAAAACACACCAAAAAGGCACATATTTTAACTAGGCCAAAGGGTATTAAGGACCAGACTATTTCCCCTGCCACTCACGTTTCTTTCCCTCCTCGTGATCTACGTTATTCTCTCTCAGCTTTGTCTTTAACCAACATCCCGTAAGCCTTCATTTATCAGCCTGCGGATCTGCGCACAATCGGAAGATGCCGGGAAGTGCTAGGAGTTATCCCTTCCACTCTGTCAACAAAAACGAAGCATCATCTCTGCTCAGTGGCGTCAGGCTGCTTCTTCAATGTGCAGTATTTGAGAAGAACCTAAAACCGTACTCAGTGAAATTACATTTCTTAGAGTTCTAGCGAATATCTGTACACAGATCATTTTAGTTTAAAATAGTATTTCAGCTATACACAGTTAAGCCCTCAAATGCTTTAAAGTAATTAAAAAAAAAAAAAAAGGGCATTTCAATGTTGTTATCTTTGAAGATGACAATGGGACACTGGAGACAGGGCTGCCTCTGGGGCAAGTCCCTGACCTCAGGCCGTTTGGTCTCCCCGGGGCAGCGGTCTGTCACCGTCATCGCCATCATGGCCTCTCAGAATCCACGTGTTTTAGGCTGTAGAGGCCGTGGGATGATACACGTGTAAAGACCATTAGAGTCTCGAGCATGAAAAGGTTCAAGCCTGAAAGAGTAGAACTTCTATTCAGAGTCAGAAGTTTTTGATTTCATCGAATGTGCTAGACATAAAGGCTGTCACGCTAATTGTCCCTAATTGTTTTAAGGATACAGTAAATAAATTATACAAGTCTAAAAATAGCACCTTTTAAAGAATTGCAGAGGTCACTTTTTCAGTCTCCTGGATCTGTCAGCCCCCGTGGTTCAGAGCGCACACGTGAGAATGCCCTTGAATGTGGCTGTGTGACACGCACATACGTCCTTGACTGACTGTGGTCCCAGAGCCATTCCTCTGTCTGGCTTAGTCACAGGATCCAAGCCGAGTTTCTACGACAGGAGGTCGATGAGGTAAAATGAGAAAAAGGCCCCATCCAAAACGACTCTAGGGGATCGGGTTGTGGTCCAACCATCCTGCCCATCTACTATCCACGGCTAAGCCTGTTCATCGGCCATGAAGTTCTAAAAGTATCTTCTCAGAAGGGAAGTGCGCAGAGCAACACATTATCAGGAAGGCATTACTGCTGAGCTGCCCTCCTTAAGAATTCGGGGTCCAAGCCATCTGGCTGAGGGTTATCAGGGTCTTAACGAAACTCCCAGGAGACCTACCCCATCTCTGGCTTCACAGTCCGTGTGTCCTAAGCCCGGGCTGCTGGGGGGCCGCGTCTCCCCCCGGAGGTAACCCTTCGTCAAGGTTTGTACAACTGCGACATTGCCATTTTATTGAAGTAATAAAATAATCCCAGGTGTGTTTCTGAGCTACAAGAAATGTACATATTTTCCTGTCACATTTTATACAGGTAGGTTAATACCAGGTGGAACTATTAAAAATCTTTTTTTCAGAAAAGAATATTTAATTTTCTGAGATTACAGAACTACATCCAACAACAATAAACAGAGAAGTAGCAGATTGACATAGTGCTTTATTTAAGCTGTCTGTACGAAGGAAGGTAATGTGCACCCCTATCATATACGTGTAAAAATACTAAGGATGTACAGTGTACAAAAACAGTTCCTTGTAGTTATTTCACATCCTTGTGGGTCATATACTTAAGGAAATAAACAGTTTTAGTATGACCGACAGTAATAGTAATACAGTTTCTTGGGTTCATAGTTGCGTCTGCTTAAAATCCTTAACCAGATGACTAGATCTTGTGCGGATCTAATTAACGAACTAGCAAGGTCGAGAAATGTCACAAACTATAAAGCTACAGGGAGGTAATTCAATTACCAATTTAGAGGTTTTCTTTTTATTTAAATAAATACTTTACATTTCATGCTTGCCTGTAATGCACTACCAGGAGCAAGATAAGGAAATTCTACTGAAGACAGTACAAACGGTAGCAGCAAAGTGTGTACGCTGAGGTGTAACAGACCCTGCAGTTAGTACGGAAGGCCCTCACTTTCGCACTCGAGGAGAAGCAAGTGGCCCCTGCGAGAACAGTCAGCTTTAAGAAGCCAGAAATCAGGTGTGGGAAATGGAAAACGATACTGGAGTAACGCTATGGAATTAGTGTAGAAAGCAAAGCTGTGAGCGACCGTGCCGAACCTCCGAGCAGAAGGTGCCAGTCTCCTCCACGATGACGGGAGGGCGAACTTCACGACCGTGAGTTCGAGATGGGGTCCGCGGTGTCTGAAGTGTGTTCTGATAGAGCGACTCCAGGTCTGCGCCTTTCCGTCTGCCAGCATCCAAAACTACAGCTATGGGCAGACACGGCGACGTTCTAGAAGCCTCCTACATACATCCCTGCTTCCCTGTCGTTCCTCCGTGCCAGCTGATGGGGATCTGGGAGTGAAAGGAAGGGTTTCTCAACATCGAAGCCAAGAAAACACGCTGCGTGACACTCGGGGAATCCTGGAGGGGTAAGTGACCGAGCCCTGAGCTCTGGTGGGGACCGAGAGCCAGCTGTGAGGCGCGGGCAGCCCGGGGCTCGGTCGACTCTGTCATTAATCTTTAGGACGTGTTCTTGGCCAAGGTCATGGAAATCACCTTAAGATTTGGAAAAACAAAAAAAGCTATCGGTGTGCTTAGTGTGTGGTGTCACACTTCCTCTCTGCAGGAACGAAGGCTGTGATCGGCAGCCGGCCTCGGCCTTCTCCTCTTCCTCTCTCCCGTTTCCTTTGTGTCAAATGAATGCAAGACAACTTACAGGACATACCTTCTAGTCTACTTCCTCGCGAATGTGGAACAGTCAACATAATTCCCAGTGAACAACAAAAGTTGAGCGATATGTGTAAGAAAGAATGAACTACCATTCACTGTAACTTCCTACTCGATGCTAAGGATGAACTTCACTCAGGTAGAAATATGAAAAATTAGGCTAAAATCTATGTCTGAATGTGTCTTAGCTGCCTTAGTAAAATGCCCTTTGACCCCGTCAGTCCCAGTGGTCCACCCACCGCCAGCAGTGGTCTGATATCTATAATCCATACTTCCAGCATCAAGAGGCTAAGACATCTGTATATGAACATGATTCATCCTGCCTAGAAAGTCACTTGCTCTTTCATACAATGCAATCATAATACTACATCACACTGCAGTCTTCCATTTGGGAGCTGTCAGATAGTTTAACTAAGATACATTTCCATGATCACTCCATGGAGCCGGACGGCCTCCCGCTTGCCGCGGGAGAGCCCCCAGCCCCTGGACTTCATAGGCTGCTTTGGAAAATGTCAGCTCCTAGCACCAAAGGGTTTAATCTGAAGATCGTCATTAATGAAGGAGAAAGATGAGGTTTGTATACATGTCCCCTGTCAGTGAGAAATGTTGGAATCTGGGGACATGAGTATATACAGAAAAAGAAAAGTCAGAGGTGTTCTTTTTTTGTTTTGTTTTGTTTTGTTTTCCCTGATGGCTTAATTCAGTGATTCATGTACCATGATCAGACTAAACATACCAGGTTCTTATCCTTTACTGCCTACTTTGTAGATACTCGAGATGTGTTCGTTTTGCCGAGTAAAGTTCATTTCTTATCGTCATTCGGGTCTCAATTTTCTTCGTTCCGTTATGTTGACAGGCCGTCATGACCTCTCACTTCCTAAACGAGCCAACGTCAACACCCGTGTTTCATTAACCCCTTGGCATGGGGAGTTGGGGATTTTCTCATTTTTAGCACCAAGGGGTTAGATGACAGCATCTCTTCTCCCAAAGCCAAATTCTAACCACTATGTACAATTTCAGAGTCTCATCGAAATTTTTTGACATAGGAGAAAAAGTGCACGATTCTCATTGGCGTGGACATTCCTTGCACGTGGGTCAGAATAAACTGCAGTGAGTCTATTTGTGTAGGTTGGAGCTGCATTTGCTAACATGACACACAATTCTCATCACTAAAAAATAAATACTACTGCAATATAAACAAAATCATAAAAGGACAAAGTTTTAACATCTGAGAAGAAACTAACTCACGTAGAACTGAAATGAAAGGTTCAAACAAGTAAGGCAAACACCTGTTCACCTTGGTGCACGAATTTTGGTGAAAAGCAGGATCATTATACCTGTCTACATTCTTCAGCCATCAGAGGCGATAAATATTAATGGAAAAAGGTTTCCAAGCACAGGGAAAAAAAATGCTCTCTGGTGCAAATCCCATCAAAGACCCTCTAAGTGACCTTGACTCTGCTGTGCATACGCTCGCCTCCTTCCTCGGTGGAACAGTTTCGTCTGCCCGTGACTGCCCGCGAAATCTGGACAGCCAACCGTAACACCAGCTTCCTCTGCGGTATCCCACAGGAATTTAAACACACACGGACTGAGACGTATCTATCTCAACAGGTGTTCAGTCCTCCGCTCAAACGCTTCCTAATGACTCAGCCAGATCCCAGCGGCGGACACCCGCTCCAGACGCCGTCTGGGTTCGCGTCACTCAGATTCTGCATATGCACACACCACCCTTCCACAATTGCTTGTTCTGAATTATAAACTAAATCTTCTTAGTCTAATTAGTTTTTGATTTATCTTCTAGAAAGTTAAAAAATGTACCTAGGATCAGTGTATCTCATTTGTCCTTCACTGTTAGGGAGAAACGAGAACTAAAAGTTCAGAAGATGACGATTTGCGCACGAATGAGTAGCGGGGGTCACGACCTCCAAAGGCTGGAAAATTACCTCCTAAAGCTGCTGTAACAGTGAGACAGTAGCAGCAACAGCATGGGACCCTAGACCGAGATACAGTTTCATGCAAAAACAGAAAGTCGAGTGCATCTGCGTGTGTGTGTGTCCCGTGTGGGCGGGAGGTGGCGAGGGGCGGAGACCCTGGGTGGGTCTGGGGTGGCTGACGGCGCTCCTGCTGTTTGTAAGAGCGAGGACTGCTGATGTCCAGGAACCCTTTTCGGTAATGAATCTAGGATGACAGTGAAGCAGCAGAATGACAGAGACCTATTCGCGTCCGCTGGCCGAGTAGGAAAACTGGGGGAAGTGCGGCCGCCGCTCGCTGTCCACGCAGTCCATGCCGTCCTCGTCGTCTGCGGGCGGGAAACAGCCGTGTTAACTCTGTTTGTTTGGACCACGTTACCTTTGGTCTATAGAGTTCTAACTTCGACATAAATCAGCTCCCAGAAACTTATCAATATATGGTAACCAAACTTATTTCAAAATTATCTCGTTTTCAAACACATGATCTATGAAGAAATAATACTATCGAACCATCACCTTCAAGACATCAACATTTTAAGGCTCAGGAAACTGTGAAAATATACCGTTGAAGAAAACAAGATCTTTTAAATTAGAAGGAACGAATTTCAGTAACCTTGAATCTCATGAAACTCTGCATGTCAAAATGACAGACATCAGCGGAGCTAAGGCACCTGAATCGAGCATCGACCGTCTTCAAATGCTTGTATTTTTGCTTCGTGGTGCTTTAGGTGGGATTGAAAAATAAAGCTGCACACGGCTCCATTTCCTCTGAGCCCTTGATTACACGTTTGAGATTTTACATTATTCACTCTGCGTCTAACATCTGCCTTACCTCCCCGTTCCCGGTAAGACTTTAAGCTGGAACGAAGAGGACAAAGGTGAGGACGGCAGCATCAGCACCGGCCCAGCAGGGGCCGAGCAGGGAGACGAGCTCTGAAGGCTCAGCCACAGGCTGTTCACCGACGCCGCTCCTGCCCCTCGTCCCGCCGCCCTGCCTGTGTCCGACAGATTACAAGTGATGGCCCGACCTCCTCCCACCACTGTCCTCAGGACGGTCCCGCACTGGCAGGACGCTGCTCTCCGTGAGTGGTCACACATTCTGTCACTCGGTCCACAACACTCCCTGTGCCTGCGCTCCCAGGCAAAGTGCCTGCCGCCCGCCCTCCGGGTCCACCGTCAATCGGGAGGCGCCCCATTACCGCCCGCTCTTCTCGAGGTGCCCCTGATCGCGCGCTGTCACTCTGAAAAGGGCGGAGTCTGAAACACCGGACCCTCTCTCCTTCAAGCAGAATAGCTCCATGTCCTCACACACGTATAGGACCGCCATTGCCAGGTCTTCCCATTTCCCAGCCCTCCAGCGACCACTGATTTCACATCATGGGAGAAGGAACGGGGGCCTGATCCCGCGGTCTCGTGGGGCGCTGAGCCTGTCACACAGCAGAGGACGATGCTCTGCATCCCTCTGGGTGATGACAAACCTTTCCGCTCCTCTCTCACTGTTCTTCTAGGTGTTCAATTCTTAATACGCAAGATTCTAGAAATGAGATCCAGTCGCTAACCAAAACGTGTGGCCTCGAATGTACTAGAAAATATTGTATTAGGGGGACTCAGTCCACCAGGAGGCATTTGTGGCTCCTGCCCCCCGCACACCCCTGGCCTGTGGGGGCCTCTCCCGTCCCTTAACAACGTGTTTCCGATGGTGCTGTGATTTAGGGACACCTCCACCTCCCGATTATAAAATGGGGGTCAGGCACCAAGCAAACCACAGGCGCCTTTTAGACGAAACACCGTCCACAGGATTTCCAGGTCCACCTCCGACGGCGGGAGCTGCGGAAGGCTTATCTTTTGTGGAGTCACGGAGCATAAAACCTCCAGAGAAAAGGTAGCTGAAATCTTAATGCCCAGATCCTGACATGGGCTGATCGCATTTCAGTGAAACGGTTTCCCCTATGGATGGCTTTTTTCCTGAGCTGTCTCTGCCCCGCCACTTGCGGGGTGCAGGGAGCACGGGCAGGGAGCACAGATGGGGAGCATGGGCGGGGAGCCGGGCGCCCATTCGGGCTACCAGCCGGCCTCGCGCCAGGTCGGCCAGGCGTGGCCGGGAGCTGTGGCGTGGGCTTTCTGAGGACTTCGCGCACGTCGGCTGGGAATTAAGAGTCTTCATCTGTCACTTCAGTAACAAATTAATCACGTTTCTGGGTATAAAGGAACCTACATCTCACAGACGACCATGCGCGGCCCACACCTCGCCATCCCTCCAGCCTGGCGCCTGCTCTCCTGCTCCCTCCAGTTGGTCACAGTGGGGGGCTGAGCTGGGGGCAGGAATGAGGGGTTCCCCTGGGCCCTCGTGCTGCACAGGCAGGGGGGGCTGTGGAGGGAGGGGAGCTGGATGGAAGTGACAGTGACTCAGCAGCTAACTGCCCGCCAGAGCCAGAGCCAGAGCCTGTCACGCCCAGTCCAGGCAACAAATGTAAATACATTCCCGCCCTGAAGGGAGGCTCATGGGGAACAGCAATGATAACCAACGTGAGCTATGCCAGAAAAACCAAATGCACATCTGGGGTGGGGGGAACCTCCACGTTCTAGGTTTGACCCCGCCGGGTCCTAGTAGCATCGGCTGACTAATTTTCTTAGAACATTGAACAAATGGAATCACATGGCAGTGAAAGCTACTGCATCCTCTTTTTCTGTAAGAAGAAGGCAGAGGACCATTCATGGGATAATGAAAGACGACACATTCCGAAATCTGTCCAATTAATTAACACCAGTGAGGACAATCTGGCACGTTACTGCAGCTGTTTGTAGAAGAGGAACATTCTGCCTTTCTAACTGCTGATTTGTTCTAAAAAATAGCTCCATTTTGTTTCAAAAAAGCAAGGTGGCCAGTGGAAAGACAACCGCTAGCCAACAGGACCACTGTGGGCTTTTGTGAACAAAACCTCTGCGCTTCAGCAGCTGAGGGCTGTGGTGGCTTCTCACCGGCACCGCTGTTCAAAGCTGCAAGAAGACACGGTAAATGTGCTCACAGCTCGAGGTCTCTGACCTGCCTCTCGAGGGAATCTAGGAAACACAGGCCCGGGACCGTCAAACGACACACATCGCACTCACGCCCTGGAAGAACCGGGGTGTGGCCACTCCCTACAGCCAGAGCCCAGGCCCAGGCCTGGTGCCGGGGGGCCGAGCGGAGCTGAGCCACACGGGACGAGGGGCTGGGTCGCCTGGCCCCGGCCTGCTCTGCTGAGCAATTCTGTCTGATCTTCCTGTCTAGATCCTGAATCGGGACAAATGATGGCAAGACCGCAGCGTCCTCCTGACCACAGACTGCTGCCCCCTGTCAGACGCAGGTGACGCCGCTGGGCTGTTCTGGGGCCGTCCCCAGCCTAGTACCAGGCAGGGCCACACCCGCTTCTGACGGCCACAGAGACCAGCCGTGCCCTGCCTACGGCTGCGGACGGATGCCAGGGCTCACCTTGGAAGTTACTGCCACGTACGGGCTTGAATCCATCCCTGTCTCAATTCTCTCCTCTAAAGACTCAGAGTCACTGAGCTTATCCAGGACTACCCACGTCTGAGACGACATAAATTCTTTCGAGAACAGAGCTGCTGCTAGTGATAAAGTGAGGCATGCCAAGAAAAACATTCTGTCGTAACATTCGGTTTTATTACATTATTGATCAAGAAGCTGAGTCACGGGGTTCAGATGATATTCCAGAAACTATGCTGGGTGACTTAAAACACCTTCTTATAATTAGGTCTCATTTTGGAAGTTCTAGAAATTGAGCAATAAAATACTTATTAATAACATTCTCATCGTGACAACTGCCATGTCAGTCTGGAGTTAGGGATAAGGCAGGTAAGCTGAATCTTGAGGAGACTCTGGTTCTTGAAGCTAGGGGCTGTGAAATTCAATTCATTACCTTCTTCTGATGGCTAAGAAGGTATATTTTAGAAAGCTTTTAATTTAACTTACGTTCAAATAGATTTGAAAACTGTTTTGCTGTGGTCTCTTTAATCCCACGGTTCCTTGCATCTTACCTGCCAGTCCCTGCCCCGCGCCCCACCACACCCTCTCTCTTTTCGGTATTTGCTGTATCGGGCCTCCTATCACTCTGCATATAGCTGATCACAGAACAAAGGACACCACAGACTGGTTCATCTGGTGCTTAAATAAAATTTAAAATGGGTTATTCACACCTGCAGAACTTGAGGTGTGTTTCTTCAAGACCTTGCTTCACCTGCCACGTGCCAGGGCCACTGAGGGGCAGAGCCGGAGAAGCAGGTGAGCTCAGGGCTCTTCAGCCCCCCTCCCTCTTCTGTGATTGGACTTGACTTCAAGCTTCTGAAGGAAAATGTGCACCCAGGGCTTTGCATTTACGGAGCCCACCTACCTCTATGACTTCCAAAAGAACATACATACTTGTCCTCAAAAGAGTCCGCCAATGCCAAAACCTCCATTTCACAAAGGGAACTGTCAGAGCGGCATACTGCTCGTTAGAATGGAAGGGATGCAGAAAGCTCTCTGACGAAGTGACATTTGAGCTGAGCTCCAAACAACAAGCAGGTCATGCAAATGTCTGGGAAGAGAGCAAGCAAATGCCCAAGCTCCGCGGCACAGGGAGGCCTGGTATGTTCCAGGTGTGGCGGGGACACAGGGACAGCGAGGGAGATGGAACAGGATGCAGTCAGAGGGTGGGCGGGACCCAGCCAGCCAGAGTGTGTGAGCGCTTTGGATCTGTCGTGCAGGGGGAACCTGTGGAGGACTTTAAGCAGGAGAATGGGATGTCTGATCACAAGTGAGGCTGCATTTCAGCGACAGGGCCAGCAAGTGCTTTCTGCCGAAAGGTCCTCTCAGGCCAATGCAGCAGCCACTGGCGAGGCCAGCATGTCAGAGAATTCTATTGCCGGAGTCCGCACTGGGGCCGGGGAGATGATGCCAAGGCCCGTGCCCATGGCTCCCACTTAGCTCCCTGCCCACAGCTACCCGGGCTTCCTAACGCCGTCCCTGACTCTCAGGAGGTTCTGAGGGTCTAGCAATGGCAGGCGAGAGGCTGGAAGCCCACGGCCCACTCCTGACCCTTCACAGCTCAACCTGCGCATCGGCCAAGGGGCCGAGTCCTGCTCCTAGTTCGGCTGACACTACTGTGGGCGTCGGGAAGCTCGATTTTTCTCGGAGCTTCAATTTCTTCCCTTATAAAACAGAAGTTAAGAGGTTCTTAACCTCCTGCAAGTCTAAAGAAAGATAAGCGCACACATAACTATTTTTCATTCCGGGGTGCTCACGGTCCCTTGCCGCCAGGCTATTAGCCGCAGGTTAAAAACTCCCGGCCTAAATGACAAGTGAGCCCTCGTCATGTACTGGCCACGCCGGAACGGCACCTCACGCCAACCCTCCCTCCCGCTCATGCTCGGGGTGCATCAGCACCATCAGCTCATCTGTCTTTAAAAGGGA